TCTTTCTGATTACCTTTGGCTCTTGATCATATGTTACTAAAATACTTCAATGTTTGCCAATTCCATTGGTACAGGGAATACCATTTCTTCCTTCTATCTTCTAATGTTTCTTGGATCCATCAATATTTTGCCCATACCATCTGTCAGCTCTTTTATATTGTGTTTTTCTGTTCATTCAGCTTGAGAATCTGAACAAGTTCAAGCTGGGTTTAGAAGATATGGCACCAAAAAAAAAATAAAAATAAAAAAATAAAAAAAAAAGAAGATATGGCACCAAGGAGAAGATTGCTAATATCAGATGGATGTTGACTGAAAGCACAGAATGAAAGAAGAATGTTTATTGGTGTTTTATTGACTATGCAAAGGCATTTAACTGTGTGGATCATAACAAACTATGACTAACATTGAGAAGAATGGGAATTCCAGAATACTTAATCATGCTTATATGAAACGGATTCTTCTTCTCTGTTCCCAACTTTTGCATTCCAGTCACCCATTAGTATCAATGCATCTTGATTGCATGTTCAATCTATCTCTGACTGTAAAAGTTGGTAGAAATCATCTATTCTTCTTTGGCTCTGGTTGTTGGTGCATATATCTGAATGACAGTGGTATTCACTGGACTTCCTTGTAAGCGTATGGATATAATTCTGTCATGATGTTGTACTTCAAGATGGATCTAGAAATTACTTTTTTTACTATGAAGGCAACCCCATTTTTCCTTGTCTTTTCATCTCCAGAGTAATATAACATATGGTCATCTGACTCAAAATGCCCCATGCCAGTCCATCTCATCTCTCCTAGTAACACTATGTCAATCAAAATTGGGAAGGGTGTATGCCAGGGATGCGTCCTGTCTTCATACCTTTTCAACATGTATGCAGAGCAGATTATCCGGGAGGCTGGGCTCTATAAGGAGAATTGTGGCATCAGGATTGGTGGAAGATCTATTAACAATCTACGTTATGCAGATGACACAACCCTGCTTGCTGAAACTGAGGAGTACCTCATGCACTTGCTGCGAAGGGTCAAGGATTGCAGTCTTCAGTATAGACTGAGGCTCAATGTCAAGAAGACAACGATTCTCACCACTGGACCAATTGGCAGCGTCAGGATGGATGGCGAAGAGATTGAGATTGTTCACAGCTTCAGTTTGCTCAGCTCCATAGTCAACACTCTTGGCACCAGCAGTCAGGAAATCAAAAAGTGTATCGCGATGGGAAAGTCTGCTGTTAGGGACCTCTCTAAAGTACTCAGGAGCAACGGTGTCTCTCTGGAGACTAAGGTGCACCTGATACAGGCCATGGTCTTTGCAATCGCTTGTTATGCATCAGAGAGTTGGACAATGACTAGGGGGAATAGAAGGAGAATTGATGCCTTTGAGCTGTGGTGCTGGAGAAGAGTATTGAATGGACCATGGACTGCCAAGAAAACAAACAGATTCATCCTGGAGAGGATTAAACCAAGCAACTCCTTGGAGGCAAGGATTCTAGGGCTTCGTCTGACATACTTTGGACATGTTGCCAGGAGGGACGGGTCCTTGGAGAGGGACATCATGTTGGGAGGGTGGAGGGACGGCGCAGGAGGGGAAGACCCTCTATGAGATGGATTGATTCGGTGACTGGGGTAATTGGGATGGGTGTGTCAGAGGCAATGCGATTGGCACAGGATAGAGCACGGTTTAGGGCTATTATACATAGGGTCGCTATGAGTCGCAAACGACTCGACGGCACATAACAACAACAACAACAACATATGAAACTTGTTCCTAGACTTGCTTGGAAGCAGGAGTGGCATCCACTTCCAAAACAGCTTGCCTCCAGAAACTCTATGAACTTTGAGAAGCGATGAAAGTTATACAAGTGATCAAGTCTTTTGTTCACTTTTGGTCACTATGAGTCGTCTACCACTCAATGGTATTTAACAACAATATTCCAAGACTAAGAACTTATTGTCTGAGTAGAGCAAGGGAACATTACATGGTTCAAAATCAGGAAAGGTGTGTATCAAGGTAAGAAATTATTCTACCAATGCAAAGGTGGTTTTTATTATTGTTACATGCCATCAACTCACCTGCAAATCATAGCAATCCTAAGTACATCAGCTCTGAAACCTGCTCTATCCTGAAACAATCTCATCATCTCTGATAGACCTAATCCCATTTCTCCAGTTACTGTATCAATCCATCTCATCTTGGGTCTTCCTCTCCTGTGCTGTCACTCCACCCTTCCAAGCATGATGTCCCTCTCCAGTGACTGGTCCCTCCTGCCCTCAAGCCCAGGGTATGTGAGATGGAGCCTCAGAATCCTTGCCTCCAGGGAGCAGCCTGGTTTCACCCTCTCCAGAACAGACCTGTTTGTTCTCCTGGCAGTCCACAGTATGTTCAACACTCTTCTCCAGCAACACAACACAAAAGCATCTATCCTTCCTGTGTCATCCATAGTTACTGTTCAGCTCTCATGATTCAAATAGACCAATTGCTCAATGGCACAAAGATGGGAAATCTCCTCCTGTATCATTTACTGCCTCTGAAAACCCACTGGATTGTCAGCTATGGGTCAGTTCTAACTTGATGGTACACAACAACAACAACATGCAATCTATATGCTTAGCAAACTGTTAGGAGAAGCTAGACTTAATAAAACAGAACATGACATTGGAATTGGAGGGAGATTCACCAACAACCCGTGATATGCAGATGACCCAAGCTTCCTGCTGAAAGCAAGGAGAGCCTGAGGCACTTGCTGCAAAGGATCAAGGACTGCAGCCTGCAATATGGATTACATCTCAACAACAAGAAAACAAAGATCTTCACCACTGAACCGACAGGCAACATCACCACAGATGATCATCAATGATTTCCTTTCACTTGAATTCACAATCAATACCCTTGGTACCAGTAGTCAGGAGATCAGAAGACGTATTACATTGGGAAAGTTGGCTGTCAAGAACCTCTTCAAAGTACTGAGGAGCAGTAATGTCAGTTTAAAGACTAAGGTGTGCTTGATTCAGAGCACGATCATTTTCTATTTTCATTTGTTTTAAATTCATGTCAACTTTTTTATGAATATTTTTATAATTCATATACATTACATTTCCTGCATGTGCACTGTGTTGCACACAGTTCTTCATTTATATTATATTTGTTAATTCATGTTGTGGGGGGTTTTCCTCTCTTACAATCGACCCATCAACTTTTTAATCATCACCGCTATGTATCTGAAAGCTCAACAGTAATAAAAATGACAGAAGAAGAACATCTTTGAGTTGTGGTGTAAGAAAAGAGAACTGAATATCCCATGGACTACCTAAAGAACAGATAGATGTGTCTTGGAGAAGGTGTAACCAGAGTGCTCCTTAGAGGCAAAGATGACAAAGCTTCATCTCACATACTTTGGGCATGTTGTTAGGAGAGGCTTTATCATGGAAATGGACATCATACTTAGACAGAGTGAGAGTCAGCGAGGAGAGGAAGCCTCTCAAGGAGATCAATTAAGACAGTGACTTCAGCAATAGACTCAAGTATGTCAAAGAAGGTAAGGACGGCACATGATAGGACAGGGTTTAGAACTGTTGTTCATAGGGTCACTATGAGGTGTACTCAGCTTGATGGCACTTAATAACAATAACATCTAACTTCCTCAGCTTCAAATAAAAAGAATTAAAAAGTTTTAAATTTTCCATATCACCCATTGAAATAACTAGAGCCATTGTGTAACTTCAGAAAATCCAACATGACTTTCAGAAATGTTGGGGATGGTTTGACTTAAAGGAACAAATGAGAATTCTTTAAAAGTTCTCCCTCTCACTGCAATCAAACTGGAACCAATTCATAAATTCATAGCTAAGCCTTCAGTGGTCTTTCAAAGTCTGTATTGTGTGGGAGGAGATTGTACTGTATGTTGGATTTGAACTGCCTGCCTTTGGGTTGACAATGCAAGTCCTTACTCCGTAAGTTACCAGAGCTCCTTTCTAAAAAGATAGATGTAGTGATACCATGTGACCCAGCAATTCCACTCCTACATTATATCCAAAAGACTTGAAAGCAGGGACTCAAACTGACACCTGGACAGTAATGTTCACTGCGGCACTATTCACAGCAGCCAAAGCATGGGAGCAACCTAAATGTTTACCAATAGATAAGTAGGTAAACACAATGTGATTTATCAATACAATGGAATATTACCCAGTCATAAAGAGAAATGAAATTCTTAAGAGAATTAAAATCGTGATGCATGCTGCAGCATTGATAAACCTGGAAAATATGCTCAGTTAAATGAATTAGAAACAAAAGGGCAAATATTGAATGACCTCACATCTGTGAAATATCCAGAATAGGCAGATTCCTATACCAAAGCTTTTGAATGGTTCCAAGTGCAAATGGGAAGGAAAATACTTAAGAAGCATCTCTAATGCTGAAGAGGTACTAAGTTTCTGTTACAGGCAATGAAAAAAAGTTAGACATGTATAGCAGTAAGTGGACAACATCATGAATATATTTAAAATAACTGGATTGTATATGTGAAAATGGTCTAAATTG